TAGATAGATCTTGTTATATTTCCTGTTGACGTTAACGCGTCACATTGGGTACTATCCTTGGTGTCCGTATACAGAAGCTTTTGGGTTCTCTCTGGCCTTGTACCAGGAGATGCCGAGAGGCTCACCGTACGCTGGTTGATGCTGAAATCGAGTAGCCGCCAGCTCTCTGAATGACCGTCCTAACTGCATCATGGCAGTTAGTATCGTGGCCTCAGCCGCCATCGCGCAGTGCTGTCGAGGCGGGTGGCCTTGAACATATTCGAGAACCATCATTCTAAACATGAGGAAGGCTAGTCCACCAACATCACTGATCATGCTGTGTCGAACCTCGAAGTTTGCGAAATTGCAGAAATGTTCGAAACTCCTGTCAACCCCTCTGTAACGTCGTACATGCCAGCATCCGTATTATGCCTGGTACTCACATCAATCAACTACAGCGGGAACGAATGAGCCTCATGTCCATTTATCCATGCTCTCTTCATAGTCTCCAGATCAATGCGTGTGCCATGTCGGACAAGTGACACTATAATCATAGCTGATGCTGCGATTGCTCTCCAAACGATCCCATTGGTAGCCCGCAATACGTCGAAGGAAGCTTGAGGATGGTTTGCAGTTTTTCTAGCATCGGGTCTGTAGTCCACGAACACTAAAGTCCGAGTCCTCTTGTCTTTGGTTGTACATGGACTGGGTAGGTTCTCTTTCAACGTCAACGCTTTGTTGCCTCAGCTAGCCAGTCGATGAGGTCAATGGACGAGGCCAGGACAAAAAAGAAAATGAACCAACAAAGCTGCCTCTGACCAGGCTTACGACAGAAAGTACCCGACCAAATGATTTTCGTTCTTCATGACTTCAGGATCCCATAGAATGGAGTCAGTTAGACACATGGTGGTCTAGGTCGCAGCTGCACAGACGTCTACAAAACTGTTTCTGATCCTCTGAACGACACTACTGGGCCACTCGGGTTCGGGCTGGCATCAGAGCCAAGACTTCCCTGACGTTTCACAGTTTAGGTAGCGAAAGAAGAAAAAGAAAAGAAGGCGACGTCGAGACCGTTGAGATTAGAGTGCCGAAGAGTGTTGGTTGGTGGGGAATGTCCAGGCTGAAGCCGGTCGATCACCGGTGAGTCTGCGTTGCATGTATTGTACGGCGGTCAGAACTGACGTAGTCTTGACGGAACCTCGCAAGATTTTCCCGAAGCCAGTGCTGTTTACTTCCAGGGGGCCTGTATCGGATAGTCGGGAGTGATTGATTCCTAACGGATGGATCCCAAAATAGTTTCGTTTTCAACATGAAGCCAACCGACGTCAAAACCCAAACTGTCCATCAGGGGTCCCAAATCCCGTCTCAACTCCGTCTTGTCACAGTTTGATCTCCATCCGCAAGTCGTTCAGAAACTCGCGTCCGGAACGAGGCTCAACACCCTGCCGGCTCCTCAACCTTGTCTTCTTCTTCTTCCCCGCGATGGGAAAAAATCCGGGGAGGGGGGGGGGGGGGCCGAGTTCTGCGACAAGGAGGTGGTGCACCGCCGCTCCCCCATAGGCCCGAGCCCCTGGCGCCCAACGCAGCCTGTAACAGCCCGCAGCGGTGTCTCCAGCAGCGCCCCAACAGCCCGGCGCAGCGCCACACGCTTTCGGACTGGGCGAATTGCACCGAAGGAGCTGCACCAAGCCAGCGAGATTTCCCCCAGACTACGAATATTCGAGCCTGGTCTTCACGAACACAACCCAATGGGATCGAGATGGGTGTTACACCTATCCCAATAAGGGTCAGGTTATCTATCACACGCCTCTTTCTCGTCCACCACAAGCTAGCACCAACCTAACCTAAACTATTAGACACGCAGGGGGCTCGCTCGTGGAGGACAGGGTCCCCCCCCCCATTTTCCTCTACTCTTAGACAGGGAGGGCTTGAGCGGCACATTCATCGTAACGCAAACGCGGGCCTTGGTTGGCGGGATCTCTTTTTTCGTTCCTGGCCTATTGCGCGGTGACGGTGTGACGGCGGCGTTGTGCATGCGCGCATGTCCCAGGACGGGGTTCATGGATGGATGGATGGATGGATGGATGGATGGAGGGCGGGCTGCTGTTTTGTATGAAGAGAGAGGACTTTGATGCGATGCCCTTCTTTTTTTTTAACTTCCCTTCTTTCTCAGGGTTTGCGTCCATTGACTTCTTTCCTTTGCCATTGTGTCTTGTCGTTCACGAGTCTTCGTGTTGCCCGACCCCTTCAACACCACATCCATCTCGTCCAACAGTAAACACCCACCTATAAGTCCACACACTCCCTCGCCTCTGCAGTGCCACAACCACCCCAACAAACACTCACTCACTGCCCCTCATCTTCACATCCCACGATGATCCTCCGTCTCCCTCTCCTCTTCTTCTTTACCACCGCCCTCGCCGACCTGGCGCAGTTCCAAGCAAACCTCCCCAAGTGCGCCGTCAAGTGCGTCGCCGCCGGCGCCAAAGAACACGGATGCGCCGTCACAGACTTCAACTGCCAGTGTTCTCACCTCGAGGCCATCATCCAGACCACGTCGCCCTGCCTCGTCAAAGCCGGGTGCTCACTTGACGATCTTTCCGGTACGTATGCGCCGACTTCCTCTCCTGCTTTTCTTGCTTCGTTCTTTCCATCATCACATGTTTTTATCTTCCAGTTTCTGGCTCCGACTGACGTCTAGTTATAGAAACCGCCAACCTCGTCGCTGATCTCTGTGCCGAGCAAATCTCCAACATCACCGCCTCACAAACAACCACAGCCGTCGGAGCAACTGCAACTATCGGCGCTGCGGCTCATCTTCCACACAACATCGCGTGGACTGGCACTGCCGCGGCCATGGCAATCGCGGTCGCGGTGTTATAGATGCTTCGGTTGCAACGGAACGCTGGGCAAAAGGATCGGGGCATGGGTGTTTGCATCGCAAGGCGTCGGATATCATGACGGTTTGGGCAATTCTCGGGTCGCGTTGCCCATGTATTCTAATAAGGCGTTTCCGGGTAATGTGTTAATAATGAAATGACATGTAATTCTTTATGCCCGAATCTATCTATATCATAAGTAGTTCTATAGGTCCTGTGAAATGTCATTCCTAGCTCATTGGAGGTTTGCCAACTCTCCGCACCATTACTCACGAGAGTCCTTGACCCCATTCCGTCTTAAAACGCCGTTACTCTCATCTTCGATCCTCCGTTTTATATGCACTTGATCCTTCTTCAAGGTCCAAACTTGCCCAACGCGCCGTGGTTGCCGCCATCGAAGAAGTCCTGCAAGTCCTCTAGGTCGTGGAACTTGGAGGCCAACTCCATGCCCTTGCGTCGCTGCGCCTCGACCCGGCGCCAATCCCACTCGCCGTCAGCAGAGAGGTCAACGTCCGACACGTCCGCGGACAGGTCGCCGACCTGCTCCTCTCCACTCATCCAGCCACCGGGGCGCTCTGGCAGCAGGCCCGACTCGCCGCCGAGGACGTAGGCCGGGTTGACGGTGAAGCGGCCGAGCTTGAAGACGTACTTGCTGATGGCCGTGGCGTAGATCTTCTTCTCCCAGCCGCCAGCTGCATCCTGGGATCCGCGCGTGCGCGTCTTGGCGCACCGGGGGTCGAGCCACTCCGTCGGCCGGGCGGCGTTCTTGGGCATGTAGTGGGTGACGATGTACAACCACTTGCGGTCCCAGGAGAGGATGCGGCTCCACATCTCGAAGCCCTTGTATGCGGGGATCTCGCGCTTGAAGCTGCACTCGACGGCGCCGAGCATGATGCCGATGGTGCCCTTGACCGGGCTGCCGGTCTTGGGGTCCAGGACGATCTTGGTCGTCGAGTTGCGCGCGAGCGTCGCCATGGATGCGCGGCAGAGGTACGAGACGAGATGGGTTCGCGAAATGTCGAGGTCGGCGAAGTAGGTCGAGTTAGACTTGTGCAGGTTGTAGTCGATCTCGAGCAGCGGGGCGTGCGACGCTGTGATGATGGGCTTAAAGAGGGCCTTGGGGGAGTGTTTCGGGGACTTGCGGAAGGACATGTGGTAGAAGATGGTGTAGAAGACGCGGTACTGGCTTCATGTTAGCGATAATGCGATGTCAAGGAGACGGAACAAAGCCGCGGGGAGAAGCACTTACGGTCCACGCGAACGGCATGTTCTTCCAGTTGAAGAGCACGAAGAGCAGCAGCAGGATCCTCGACGTCCGCCCAGGACCCGTCAGGAACGATTGCATCAGGGGGACCCAGTTGACGCGCCACGCCGCATATCCCATGGAGCCGACGGCGAGGGGCGCAAAGACGGGCACCACGAGGGACAGCCCCGGCAGTTTCTTCGCCGCAGACGCCATTGTGAGCGTGAATGAGAGACGACGAGGCTATTCGCGCGACGTGGTTTCCTAAAGGAGAGAGTCTCGAGCGCAACACCACTGCTTGTCGATAAGGGAGGGATGCCAGCGACGGTGCCTTGGGGAGCGATGGACTTATATCTCGCAGGCGGTTGAGATGACGTAAGGACGGTCCCTCCCAGTAAGTGGGAATGAGTGTCAGGGGTGAAGTCGACGATGGTCGTTCAGGGGTGTGCGCGACGAGGTGTTCCAACCTTCAACGCGCAACGCAGCATTGAAACTTATCGCTATCGAGCCTCGGTTCAGCCTTATCAGTGGGGACTCGGCCGAAGATCATTGGAGGCTTCGAATTGTTGGGACGTCGGCGGCGGAATGATCGGGACGTTCCTTGCAGAAAAGCGCGATGGTACGTCGTCGAACGGCCGATCGGAGCATCCAGAAGCCCGCGTGGCTCGGTGAAAAATACTGCTTCGGGTGCTTTGCCCGGAGCTTGGTGGTCCAGCAGCGTGCCACAGGACGGCAGCTCCAGGACACAGAGACCAACAAAGCTGAGTTGGACGGGCTCAACAAAAGAGTGAATCGTATCATTGCTACGGGTAACAGAGAAAATCGGTTGCTGGAAATTGGTGAAATCAACGGACAAAGGCAAAAAGAAATGTATAATGGCGGATTCAAACCACCTAAGTTGGACGAACAGGGAATCGAACCCTGGACCACTCCCAGATGTCTTTGTACGGAACATGCTAAGGGAGTATTATACCACTAAACCATTCGCCCAGTGATTAATAAATGCCGATGTTTTAATGAAGTACATCAGGGCTATGGATAAGTGGAGCCTCCGTGATGATTTCTCCCACGCTAGATCGAAAGGCACAAGTTGACTTACAGGAATTATTATCCTACGTAACACTTTTTGAGTGGTACTGTTGTTTATTGGAAAATATATCTGCTTGAAGAATAGATCTGGTTTAATAAATTCACAGGTGAGCGTCATGTAAACAATACATGTACTTGGTAGGTCGTGACCTCGTCAATTTATGTATCTTGGTTTCTCTTTAACCGATTACAACGACGTTTCAATCTCATCCACGGCATCAAGAACCGGCTTCCAGTTTGCCCACTCGGCATCACCCCCGGGAATACCGCCAAAGAGCGGCAACCTCGTACCGTCCGCATCGCCAAAGCCCCTCAACCGCCCAACGGCCTCCTTGATGCCGACGGTGCCATACCGCACGACAATCTCCTCCATGCTGCTGACCTTGAACTGCAGCAGGCGGCGCTCGGCGGCCTCGGCGGCCGTGGGCTGCGCCTTGGCCGACAGATCGTACAGGCGCACCAGCGTCTTGGGGAAGAAGCCCGCCGACCCGTCGATGGCCCCCGAGAAGCCCACCGACATCACCGGCAGCAGCTGCTGGCCCAGCCCCGTGAAGGCGTGGAAGTGCTCCGGGTCGATGGCCGGGTTGGCGCCGATCTGCACGTGGTACGACACGTCGCCGTGCGAGAGCTTGCATCCGACGATATTGCGGTGCTTGGAGAGCGTGGCATACGTCGAGGGTACCACCTTGACGTTGTTTGACACGCCGGGATAGTGGTAGCTGAAAGGTGAGTTCGTGAGTATTCCGGGATCAGATATATTCGCGAGAAAGGGCGTCTTACATCATGACCGGGATGGGGCTCTGGTCGGCCACGGCCGTGAACCACCGGATGATGCCGTCCTGGGTCGTCACAACGGCGTTGTACCCCGGCACGAGACACAACCCCCACTGGGCGCCGGCCTTGTGGGCGTCCTGGAGCTGCTCCACCGTCTCCTCCACACTGTTGGTGGCCGTCCCCGCAACGATGGGGTAGTTGTCGAAGCCGGCCTTCTCCAGCGCGGCCTTGATGCCGCCGAGCACGCGGGCCCGGTCGCGCGGGTGCAGGTGCACCGCCTCGCCCGTGCTGCCCAGCGCCACGACGCCGCGGATGCCCGCCTTGGCCAGGTACACGGCGTGGGCGCCCTGCGTCTCGATGTCCAGCGGCGCCGTCACGGCGTCGTAGTCGGCCGTCTTCTTGGAGGCGAAGAACGTGGGCACCGGCACGTACATGCCCGCGGGCGGAGGAGAAGCCATGGCGATAAGAGGGTTTCCGGGAGTGAAGGACGAGGGAGAATGGGAGTTACAGAGAAGGTGTGAGGGGTTGGGCGGTTGTTGCTACCACGGGCTTGTATATAAGTCGAGCAGAACGCAAGCCGAACTCGGGGCTTCGGGCTATCTGACAGCGACCTCTACCGAAGTGTGGACTACCCCCAACTGATGCAATCCGGGAGAGCGTATCAGCGAGTTTAAGGGTCCACTTCCTCGATACGAAGCCACTTCGGGTGAGCTCTTCATCCAATTGATGCAGCTTTTCCTGGCTGTGTCATGTAGTTAGGGAGGGCGTGGAATATCTACCCGCCTTTGAATGACAGGTCTCTATCACGGGGCAAGAATATGCGTCGGCCGACAACGCATCGATGACACAGCCTGAGCTTTTGGTTGAGGATCCTAATTCTACTGTTGACTTGGGATATGTTAGGCAAAGAGAGAAGCTAGCAATATGAACGGGAGCGGGAATACGGGCAATGCAGTCGAACGTCTGGTAGCAACGAGATTAAGAAGAACAACATGCAAAAAGGAATGCTCATCCGGAGAATCGAACTCCGACCCCACGCTTGGAAGGCGTGGATCCTAACCATTAGACCAAATGAGCTATGGTTTTGAGTGGCAAAAGTCGAGCCTATTCCTATTGATATAATATGAGAATCTAGTTGACGAGTGCCCCTGTCAAGTCCGCAGTCGAGCTCCTGGCGCTCGGGCCTCTCATGATGTGTTGCTGATGACATAAAGACATGTAGAGTTGATGCCTTAGACTCTGACTGGATAGGCAAGGTAGGTAACGAGTTTGGAAAAGTTCCATGTTTTATATGGTTTTAACTCCTGGAGACACGTCCTCAACTGACGCGTGTGGGAGTAAATGCTGACTATTTTAAACTATAGTTCTTCTCTACCATGGTCTTAAATGCTTTGATTTGTGTTCTTCAAACCTTTCTTCTGATCCCTATGCCTGTCTTGTGGTCTCCCACGAAGCAAGTCCTGCCGGACATGCGGGCATTCTACGTGTTACTGCAACTGCTCGACTCCTGTACAAGGACCGGGAATCCGATTTTCCCGGCTGCATCACCGTGGACTTGGGCTCATCGGATGACTTGGGTTCCCTCGGCAGGCTCCAGCACCTTCCACTGGCAGTCCAGGTTCTTGTTCTCGTTGTGGTCCCTCAGCTTTTCGATGATCTTGTTGGCGATCCCCTCAAAGTTGTGGGTGGCGAGGGCCAGGATGGTCGGGCCAGCGCCGGACAGGCAAACTCCCAGGAACCCGTCCTCGGTCTTGGGGGACATGGACTCGACGATCTCGGTCAGGCCCGGGATGAGCGCCTGGCGGTACGGCTGGTGAATCTTGTCCTGCATGGCCAGGTGGATGAGTTCCGGGTCGGGAGGCGACTGGCCCAAGGCAACGGGCAGCAGGGCAATCCGCTGCAGGTTGAATGTCTGCGCACGGTGGGGTCAGTTGGGTCAAGTCGCGACTACAGCCTAGATACTTGGTCATCCGGGACTTACCACATCGACCCGAGGGTACTTCTCAGGGAGAACCTCGCGCGCCCGGTGGGTGGGGACCTGGAAGTCGGGGATGATGGCCACGGCCTTGATCTCCTTGGCCCAGGGGAACTTGATGTGGTGGCCGATGCCGTGGGGAGGGTCCGGGGGTGTCTTGCCGGTGTCCTCGCCTCCGGCCGGCGCGGGGAGGACCTCGCTGAGGGGGATCTCGGTCCTCGCGACCTCCTCGGGGGTCAATGGCTTGAGGTACGTGCCCACAAAGCCTCCGTACAGGGCGGCGCCGACATTGTCAGGATGTCTCTCTGCAAGTTCGCGCGTTAGATACCGGCCCGGAACTCGCGTGGCGTGGCATATTTACGCACCAATCATGAGACAATAGTCGAACAGGCGGTCGACGTTGAGGTCCTTGAGGCCACCGACCTCCTTGCCCAAGACGACGCCGGCCACGACGGCGGCGCCCGAGCTGCCGAGGCCGCGGCCGAGAGGGATCGGGTTCTTGATGTGGACATGGGTCTCGACGGGAAAGTCGCGCTGGGCGTGGCAGCGCAGGACGTACAGGGCGACGCGGGTGATGAGGTTGACCTGGGGGTCGAGGCTGATCTCGGCGGTGCCCTCGCCCTGGCCCTCGTAGGTGATGCGGCAGTTCAGCGGGTGGTCGGACTTGGGCTTGGAGCGGTCGATGGTGACGTGCAGCTCGAGGTAGACGGACAGGGCGAGGCCGATGACATCGAAGCCCGGGCCGATGTTGGCGCTGGAGCAGGGCGTCTTGACGACGAAGGACTCCATGACTGTGGTTGAAACAGTAGGGAATCGATCAGCGGGAGGGTTGGGGCCGTGTCAGTCAGTGGTTTCAGGGGCGCAATTGGGGGCTAGATGAGGTCCCTGGGGGAGAAGTTTTGCCATCCAGGTCTCTCCACTGAGTGGTGACTCCCCCGAGATGCCAACTCGCTCCGCTACCTAGCCGATGACGGAGGCCCCTCCAAATCAACACTGGGAACGAAAAGCAGAAGCCCTGGCGGCGGGGTAATAGATTTCCAATTGCTGCCCCTCCATCGTTGTTGAGCAATCTCGCTCCCATTGGCTCAATTCCTCTGCAGCCCTGAAGGGATTTTTCTCCCAGGTGCTAAATGCGGTGGCCAAGGGGTTTCCATCGGGTGATCGGCCGGCACCCGTCTGTCCACCTCGTCGGCCCAGTTTCGTGCTTCAATCCAGTCCATTTGGTCGTATTTCGAGGCCGTGAGAAGGAGTCAAAAACCAAAGACAGACACACCGCTTCTGTTATTGAGGTTGATACACCAAAAACCCATCCTTGTCTTTGCTTACCCGTACACGGCTTGCCTCGTCTCGTCCGGCGCCGACGACGCGAAGTGGCTGACTGACCCAAGCCATCGGTCGCACAGCAGCATCGGCAGTTCAGCCATGCGCACGCAAGCCGTGCATCCATGCCACCATGAATGCCCTTGTCCGCCGGAAGTCGCAACAGCCGGAGAATTAACCGAGATGTGCTCTCGCATACCACAGCACAATTGTTATGTCGTTGTTCAGAGACGTTCAAATATTCCATGCCAATAACATCTAGGGCTCAGGCTGGGCAACGGCACTGCTCTCGAGTCCCGCCTGGTGGACCGTGCAACCCGACATTTCAGCAGCCCCCGTCACACGTCCCAAAAATAGATCCTCACTCTCACCATGATGTCAACACAACAACAAACACGTGGGATGCCATCTCGCTAGTCGCTCAGGTCAACGCCTCCTACTTGAAATCTATCGCAACAATTCAATCAATGGCTTCCTCTATGGAACGTTGTATCGGATTCCGGCATCAACCGTAACGCCGACCGGTCATCGCCGTTGTTCCTCACTCCCTAGATGCGTTTGCCAGTGAGGCGCTTGAGTTGGGCAGCCTCTCTCGTGTTCGACCAAGGCCGCGACATTTCGTGTTCCTGGACTCGATTATGGTCCTCCTTGGATCTCGAACCGTCTTATCTGGGCTCTCGCGGCTCCTCTACCGTCTGTAAGATTCATGCTAACAAAGCCATCGCATAATCTACCCAAGGAAACTCGCATTGGGCTCTGCTCCGAAAAGCCTCTGGAGCTTCACGGGTCCGGCGTATGCACCGGCTGAGCGATGCACGGCTCAAAGAATACG